CCCCTTCCTGTGACGTATGCCTCTACCTGTAATTAGTGGGCTGGCTTGCCCCCAAAAGGTATATAGGTGTGAGTCAGCAATATAGCTCTCTCTCTGACTCTGAGCTCCTTGCTGCTCACTCCCTGGTCACTCCCCTCTCCCTGTTTCCCTTCCCCTCCTTCCCTTCCCCCTCTCTCCACGTGGACCACCAAGCTGGGCTGAGGTGAGCAATGCTATCATGTAATATGTCTGACTGTATTATTGTAATATCTCTCATGCTCTTGATGACTTTAATATAATGCTTATATATCTCAACCGTACAATTGTGCATTACTGAACCCAGAAGTTGTACTTACCGAACCAGTGAGTTCAAGCAGCGGGTGGGGGCTGGTCCCCCTCCCCCCCCTAGTGCCACTCAATTTTTTAATTTAATACTACAAGCTTCCATGGGTGTGTTTAGTTTCAAAAAAAAGTCGAATAAGGGGAGATCCCCCACTGAGTACTTTTCTGTTTTCCTGATGGGTTTGGGGGAGACAGAGTCTGGGAAGATGTTAATCAGATTATATGATTCAGGTGTGACTATGAACACAGTTCATGGTGATTGTGAACATTCTAATTATAGAAGGTGTGACTGAAAGGTGTGGGGTTAAGGGGAAGAGGGAACCCCACAAAACATCACAGGTTCGGTAGGCGCAATTGTACAGCGATAATAAGTAGAGGTTACAGTAAAGTCATAGAGAGCATGAAAGTTAAAGGATGGAGTCAGACGCAATTCATGGTAGCATAGCTCACCTCAGCTAAGCTTGATGGTCCTCGTGGAGGGGGCTCAGTCGTCAGAGAAGAAGCCGCTGCTTCGTCCTCCTTAGTCACCTTCTCCAGCCACCCTCTTGAGAACCAGGGAGCGTCATTATTTATTGCTAACCACGCATCATATCACTTTAGGGGGATCTGATTACAGAGTCATACATCACAGAAAGGGACAATACATTTCATTCTTGAACAAGTTTGATCATTCTGGTGTCTCATACAATAAAGCAGACAACTACTATTCTGGGAGGCATGCAAGTCTCCTGATAGCAGACAATAACCTAAGTCACAGGGAGGGGTAGCGACATAGGCAATACAATCAATAGGAGGGGGATGACCTAGGGGTGTGCCTACATTTGTTGTGGGATAAACAGTGGCATCTGCTTGATTTAGACAGCTGATAATGGCTATCTAACCTTGGTCATCCTTGGGCGGGTTTGCCCTCTCTGGTATCTCCTGCAAGTAAACAGACCACCACTATCCTTATCAGAAGGGAGTGGGTCTTATTTAGGGTGAGTCAGACTAATAGTCTAGCCACTATAGATGGCTGATGTTAAGGAGAATAACCTCTGACCTACTTTTGCTGATCACCTATTGTAAAGTCACTCTTAAGCAGCTAAGTCTGGTACATATTTTGGGGAGACAACTTAAGAGAAATCCTTATGTTCCTCACAGAAAGGGAGTGGGTGGAGTTAATTCCTTAAGTATGAATGGGTTAATAGCTAGGAGAGATAGGGGGTAGCCTGAGATGTAGTCAATTTCTATGACTCTTCCAGTCAGGATTCCTTGTGAGGCATTACACTTCTGAACGCTACACCTGTGGCTATAATTCCATTTTGGATGGAGTTCTCTAGTAAGCTAACGGACAGAATCACAGTGGGATTTAGTCTTTACCTTAGCAAAGGGTGTGAACCAAGTCACAACCTTTGTTTCCTTCTGGGTATGATCTGCTGGAAGACAAAAACCACACCTCCATCAAAGCCATTCCTCTCGGGGGAGAAGGAGGGAAAAAAACAGGAGATGACAGTAAAGGCTCAATAGAAAGCAAATGTTTAGAAAATAATGATGGCAACATATGTACAAACATGCTAGATACAATTGATGCATGGATTGTTATAAGAGCCCCCAATAAAATGATCTTTTAATAAAAATAAAAATAGCCATTCCTCTCTATATAAGAGTCATATCAGACACAGAGATAACTTCCAGGACCATCAGAAGAAGAGTAGGTTCGAGATCTCTGAAGTGGGGTCGACCAAGTCCAGAGGCACCAGAGACTATTGAAATGGAGACTCCAGAACAAGGAACCAGGCTGGGGCCAGAAGCCAAGACAAAGAAACTGTGAGCAGAACAGAGTAGCTAGTCTGAGACTTTGGGACTGGGAGGCAGAGCAATAACTGGGCTTCCTGGTCCACAGAGGCAGAGGCTGAGGACCAGAGAGACTTAGTTGCTGACTGAATGAGGTGTTACTGTGAACCAATGACTGTATCCTTGCTGTTGACTGATCTTGACTTGTGGAAAACTATTAACTTCCCTACTAAATCTCCTTAGTTTGTGGGGTAAACAGACACGGCATCTCCTCAGCTTCCACAAGCTGTGACAGGAACAGCTGGAAGACAAATATGACCTCAGTAAACCTGACATCCAAAATAGTACCTGGGAAGAGCCGAAGGCTAGTGCAAGAGCCCAGTAGAAGGAAACAGTTTGGCATATCCCCACCACAGGTAGATCCCATTACTGAAAGTTCAAGTGCCAAGTAGGGACTACTAGGTGACAAGTTTCTACCACACTGCACAGAACCTAAGTCTGAAGGCCAAAGTGCTTAAGCCTCATCCTGGAAGCCCTGAGCTGGGACGAGGAGAGAGGAGGGTCTCAGAGAATCAGGGTGGACTGTTTTGCTCAGGATGATGTCCTACTATGGAATGAGGAGAACCAGTCATTTAGAGTAGCTGAATGGAATGGGATTTCTGAGAATGCACCCAAGCAACCACAGGGATTGGCAGTCACCATTCAGCACCATGCTGACATGCTCAAGTGATTCCACCCCACCCACACCATGACTTTCAGTGGAAGGTACCATTACTTCCATTTGCCCAGGCTTGCTGACTCAAATTATCTAGGCCCTCGCTATCTGACCTTCTGACTTCTACAGTTACTCTCCTAACACACTGTGATATTGTTGTCAGAGGCTCTCGGCAACCAGCAGCTGGACCAGCTCCATTTCCTGTGAGCTGAGGACATCCTGGGGAAGCTTCAGGAAGTCATACTACCAGGCACCCAGGAGTGACTATCAAAGATTGTCATAATTTAGGGGGGTGGGGGAAACAGAGGAACCTATAGAACTATCTAGACTCAGTGGGGCAACATGCACCAGGTACCTACCCTTCTTCCTGCACCTCTTCTGAGCAAAACCAACAGACAAAAAAACTTTGTTAGACCATATTTTCAATGGCGTTTATTGTTTTAAAAAAACAGCATGTTTTTAAAAAAGTATACAAGGGAACTTCAAAATATTCATGGGGAAAAACATGTTCAACTTAAAATAAAATTAAAAAAAGAAAACAAAAAAAAAAAAAAAAAAGGAAACTAAAACCTTTTCCCCCCCACAAACATCTTGGAAGTCCCTTATATACCATTAAATACTACTTTAGACTGCACTCCCCCCTCCCCTACATCTACAGCACTCTCACACAATACATACTGCAGGAAACACGAGCCACCAGGGATCCAGTCACCTAAGCAGTTCCCTTCAACAAGGTTGCAGTCCCTGGGGCATTAGTGGTTTGGGAGTAAATCCATGTTGATATCCTTCATGGGTGCTTCTTCATGAAGAGACCTCTCTAAGGTAAGGGTTCTTTTGATTTGCAAAAGTATCTGAACTGCAAGTGGTGATAGGCAAAAGATGTAAAGGAAGATGTGGTTCCCATGGAGACCAACATGGAGAAATGTGAACTTCTGAAGAATCAAGCAAATGCAATCAATACCAATTGCAGACTAGTATTCAATTGGCAAGCAGAGGTTGAAATTAGAATATTCAGTGAAAGGAGGCTGTGTGAAAACTGGACTGTCCACACTGTTGTCCCCAAGTTTGCTTCTAGGCAAGCAGGATATTCTCTAAAAATGTTTTCTCAATGAATGCATCAGTGCTGGTGGCCAACCATTCTGGAAAGCATATAGATATATGTAGCCATGTCCTTAAGAATTTTCTGCTTAAAGCTGATGGTGCCCGGCTATCAGAAGATACAGCGTCTGGGGTCTTAAAGGCTTGAAGATAAATAAGCAGTTATCTAGCTCAGAAGCAACAAAGCCCACATGAAAGAAGCACACCAGCCTGTATGATCACGAGGTGTTGAAGGGACCAGATGTCAGGCATCAAAGAACAAAATATATCATGATGAATGAGGGGGAGTGCGGAGTGGGGACCCAAAGCCCATCTGTAGGCAACTGACATCCCTTACAGAAGGGTCGCGGGGAGGTGATGAGCCAGTCAGGGTGCAGGGTAGCAATGATGAAACATACAACTTTTCTCTAGTTCTTAAATGCTTCCTTCCCCCCACTATCATGATTCCAATTCTACCTTACAAATCCGGCTAGACCAGAGGATGTACTGGTAAAGATAGGAACTGGAAATCAGGGAACCCAGGACAGTTGAACCCTTCAGGGCCAGTGGCAAGAGTGTTGATACCAGGAGGGTAGAGGGAAGGTGGGGTAGAAAGGGGGAACCAATTACAAGGATCTTCTGTTGTCCTAGGGGACGGACAACAGAAAAGTGGGTGAAGGGAGCCGCCAGACAATGTAAGACATGACAAAATAATAATTTATAAATTATCAAGGGTTCATGAGGGAGTGGGGAGCGGGGAGGGAAGGGGGAAATGAGGAGCTGGTACAAAGGGCTCAAGTAGAAAGAAAATGTTTGGACATGATGGCAACATGTGTACAAATGTGCCTGATACATTTGATGTATGGATTGTTTTAAGAGCTGTAAGAGCCCTCAATAAAATGATTTTTTTTTCAAAAAGAATATTCTTCTTGTCTCTAGCAATGTACTCTAAAGATTTAATTTAAAGGAATATGTTAAACACCTGAAATTAGTCACCATGGAATAGTATGTCTAAACGAGAAGTTTTAGAACCTAACGTATGTCAGTTGAATATGTTGCTATGTAAAAAGGTAATTACCAGTCCTATTTCATAACATAGAAAAGAATGGGCAAGTCAGTTTTTGAAATTTTACAATATGTAAAAATATGCAAATGTGCAAAAGTCTCTCCATTGTGAATTTTGTGAAGAAATAGCAAAGGGGAAGAGCTGCAATTAATGGATATAACAACATTTTATTTTTATAAACGTTCTTCAGCAGGTCTGAAAGGAAACTTACCAAAATGGCAGTGTTTTTTTCTAAGTAAGGGAAATATAGGAGCTTCTTTTTGCTCACTTTTCTCAAGTTTTCTAAAATGGTCATACAGAGCTTTTGGATGAAGAGCTTTCACCACAAAATATTTTTGAAAAGTTTTCTTTAATTAACAAGAAATGCGTCTTCACCCTGACAACACTGTGTGCACAATAAATAAAGCAAGGTAGGTGAAGGTGGGAAAAGTGCACAGTATGACTTCCCCACTTCCACAGTCACATTGAGAACTCTTCCCGGAGATGAATCCTCTGATGCTGAAACACATTGGAGCTGTGCCGGAAGGCTTTCCCACACTCGCTGCATTTGTAGGGTTTCTCTCCAGTGTGGATTCTCTGGTGCTGGATAAGGTAAGTGCTCTGGCTGAAGGCCTTCTTGCAATCAGTGCATTTGTACGGCTTTTCTCCATGATGAGACCTCTGGTGGTGAATGAGTCTGGAGCTGTTGTGAAAGGCCTTCCCACACTCACCACACTTGTAGGGCTTCTCCCCAGTATGGATCCTCTGGTGCTGGATAAGGTGTGTGCTCTGGCTGAAGACTTTGCCACATTCATTACATTCATAAGGCTTCTCTCCAGTATGGCTTCTCTGATGTTCCACAAGTTTGGTTTTTTGGATGAAGGCTTTCTCACATTCATTACATTTATAGGGTTTCTCTCCAGTGTGAATTCGCTGATGTTGGATAAGGTTAGAGCTCTGGGTAAAGCCTTTTCCACATTCTTTACACTCAAATGGTTTCTCTCCAGTGTGAGTCCGCCGATGTCGGATAAGAATTGAGCTATCACTGAAGGCCTTTCCACAGTCATTACACTTGTAGGGCTTTTCTCCAGTGTGAATTCTCTGGTGATAAATAAGGGAAGAGTAAGCACTGAAGTGTTTCCCACAATCACCACACTTGTAGGGCTTCTCTCCAGTGTGAATCCTTTGGTGCTTCATAAGGTTGGGCCTTCTATTGAATGTCTTCCCACACTCATCACACCTGTACGGTATCTCCCCAGAGTGCATCCTTCTGTGGTTGATAAATTCACAGCTCTGGCTGAAGGCTTTCCCACACTCATCACACTTGTAGGGTTTCTCCTCACTGTGAAGCCGCTGATGTTTAACAAGGTTAGCACTGTACCTAAAGGTTTTCCTGCAGAAGCTACAGTAATGCAATTTTTTTCCAATAGGAATTTTCTGATCTCCATTAACAATTGAATTTACATTGTAATTTTCCCAAAAATCATGAACTGTATTTGTTTTTTTTAACCTGTGTACACGCTTATGGTTGTTGAGGTACGATCTCTGTTCAAAACTTTGCTCACATATATCACATTTATAAGGTCTCTGATCTAGGAAGGAGCTTAACCCCAACCTGAGGCTTCCCCCAGACTCCTGGTCCCTTTCCTCACCAGTCACCATAACCAGTTTAGGGCCTTTTTGCTTGTCCAGGTGCTCTTCCAGATCACCAGGCTCTGTGTGTTCTCCTACATAAAGTCCTTGGGGAATAGCCTCCCTGAGTTGAGCCCTTTGTTTCTTATCCAAGAGCTTCCCTGAAGTCAATTCCTTGAACTCGGTCCTGGTCCTACTATCTGGAAAAAAAAAAGTAGAACATCTCAAGATCACTTACTGACTATAGGAGGAGGGTATCAGGATGTTGCTTATCACCTACAGAAGAGAAAATTCATCATCTCCAAAGTTCAAACAGTCTTGCAGAGATGAGTGCCTGGCGCACAGAGGCTCAAGAACCTTTCCAGAGACATGATTACATGACAATGCATAGATCTCAACCCAGGTCTGATTACTTTTACCACCTATGCTCTTCTATTATGTGTGTTGAGTCCAGAAAGGGAGGGATAGAGATTTGAGGTCATAGTGGAGCAATCTCTGTGAGTCACTTGAGTTTTGAGGAGCTAGTGGCTCACCAAAGTAGCCCAACTTGGGCCTGCCTGCCTGTCTTCTGCTCTCAAAACCTGCCTCAGTGGGATTGTAGGAAGGCTGTCCGCAACACTGCCAAAAGGACAGAAGATGTAGGCTTTACAGCAACATGGAGATAAGAGAAAGCAGGGACCCTGACAATCATGAGAGCATTTGACAGACAAACAAAAGTCAATAAAAAGAAATAAAACTCCCTTGTAGCAACCAGCCCACTTTAAAACATGGCAGACAAATCAGTCACCTTGCTGGACGGGTAGAAGGCCAGGGACATGCTATCACTAAGGAAAATTGGTTTAAAAGCATGAGTGGACTCAGTGACAGGACCACACCTGTTGGGCTACTTTGGTGAGCCATTAACTCCTCAAAACTCAAGTGACTCACACAGATTGCTCCACCATGATCTCAAATCTCCATCCCTCCCTTTCTGGACTCAGCACACACATCCTGAGCTCCTCCTGTATCAGTACTTAGCAAGAGAAGGGCACTGGGAAGTAAAGCACCCAGGTTGGGTCCTGTTATGTGGCTCTTCAGAGATCAACACCAGCTGTTTGGGTTTATTTTTAAATACTTTTATTGGGGGCTTTTACATCTCCTATCACAATCCATACATTCATCCAGTGTTTCAAGCACATTTGCACATATGCCACCATCATCATTATCAAAGCATTCTCTATGCACTTGAGCCCCTGATATCAGCTCCCCATTTCTTCCCCCTCACGAACCCTTGATAAGTTATAGATTATTATTTCCATATCTTACATCATCCTCCATCGCTCCTCACCCACTTTACCATTATCCATCCCCCTGGGAGGGGGTTATAATTGATCCTTGTGATTGATTACCCCTTTCTTCCCCCACCCTCCTCTAATCCTTCTGCTATCTCTACTCTCATTGTTGCCCCTATCCTGGATTCCCTGTGTTGCGGGCTCTTCTCTGTAGCAGTGTGCATGCTCTAATCTAATAGGATTTGTAAGGTAGAATTGAGGTCATGATAGTGGGGTGAAGGAAGCACCAAAGAATTAGAGGAAAGTTGTGTGTATCATCGGTGCTATACTGCACCCTGACTGGCTCATCTCTTTCCAGTGAACCCTCTGTGAGAGGATGTCCAACTGTCTACAGATGGGCATTGGGTCTCCACTCCATGCCCCCCATCCCTCCCTCTCCCATTCACCATGGGTATGGTTTTGTTCTGGGTCTTAGATGCCTGATACCTGATCCCATCGACACCTCATGATCACACAGGCTTAACACCAGCTGTTAATACTTTGACTCAACCCTGGTCCCTACTTGCTGAGGCAACTTACCAACCTCTGAGAGCCTGTTTGTTCACCCATCTGAATATCGTGGGTCATAACAACTGCTCCTTTATAGCACTTTCATGAGAAGGAAACAGGATTAACGGGATAACTGTTGAGTGCTTACAAAAGACAATTTCAGGTGCTTTGAGCTAGTAGTTCCCTAACAGGATATTATCAGCAAAGTGCCAGAAATATAAATGTGTCTGATGATCAATAGAACCATTTATGAATTTATTGAATGACCTTCACCTTTGCACTTGTGTGTACTCACTACTATGTAGTCACTGGATACAGTGACTGAGAATTATGTATGGAAATGGAAATACATTTAGTGGAAACACAAAAGGCAGATGCTCAACAGTGCACATGGAGTCACAACATGCCTACTAGTAAGCAGGGCTTAAGTATGAGTATGAGCAGGCCAGGTGGGGCAGGACATATTTTGAAACATGTTTGTCTCTCAGTGCTGAGCTTTGGGCCGATGTATATTCCCTCACTTTGTTAGCAAGGTCTTTAATCCTCAGGTGGGTTAAATGAGAAAAGAATGAGGTACTGCTCTCCACTACTGTGTCCTCCTCTTTGTAGGGCTTGGCTTTGGGAGAAGGCTAAACCCTGGTTCCTGCATGGTCTACGGGGTGCTGTGGGCCCCAGTGCTCCCTCACAGAACACTCATCCCTCTGCAGCCCTTCACCCTTCTCTAAACTAGCTCCGCCCAGATCACCCTAATCCACATCTCCTGTCCTAAGTTTTCCACACCCACCCTCCAAGACAGTCCAAGACCATTCCCACTGAGGGCATTTGGGATGCTGGAGGGAGCTATCCCAGGCTTGGGCAGAAGCCTCTCTCTTAACCCTCCTGTGCTGACCTTAATGTATATTCTTCCAAATTCCTGAGGCATTAACCAGATACCTTGAACCCCCACCAATGCTAGTTCAGCAACTGAGCTGGGTGTGTGGGCAGTCCTCCCTCACTCACCTGAGCAGCCAACTTGCCCTTTGGTACCCTGCACCTCCAGGACCCATGGTTCATCCCCACTTTCCAACTGTGAGATCACCTCAGGCTTTGGCCCTGCAAGTGCTGCTCCTGGAAAGGAGATAAGTCCGATGGTTGGAACTAGGACATGAACCTAATCAGCTCAGCCTAGCACTGGAGTTCTGGGGGAGGGAGCCATTCCAGGGAAGTCTAGAAACCCTCTAGAAGGAAGGCTCCAGCGTGGACCGGGAGTTCTCATGAAGAAGAAGAGCTACACACTGAATCCAGGAGCTCAAGGGCTTGGCAGAAGGTGGGAACCCCCCCAAGAGGGGGTCAGAGACAGGGTAGGGAAACACTGACCTAGGGAGGCTCCCAGCTTCACTCAACCCTCCTTCCCACAGAGTAGGCATGCCCAGAGTTAAAATGGCCCACCCCCAGGCCCAGGGGATGAGGAACCTCTGTGGCCTGGGCCAGTCCCCACCAAACCTTCAGCCCCTCAGCTGTTCACAGAGATGCGTTCTGTTGAGTGGCCTTACCTAGCGAGACTAGGTTTCCATAAGTCTCCAGCATCACTTCCCTGTAGAGCACCCTCTGTGCAGGGCCCAGGTGGCCCCACTCCTCCCGAGAGAGGAGCACAGCCACATCCTCAAATGTCACTGCACCCTGGAACAACAGGAGCTGCTGCAGCCCAGGACCCAGCCTAATGGGGAGCCCGGGGGTAGGGGGAGCAGAGGTATCCTGGGGTGGCAGCACAAGACCTCCAGGGTCACCCTTCCCTGCTGTCAAAACCCCAGCCCAGAAACATGGCTGTTCACTCAAGTGGGATGCTCTCAGGAGCTCACATACCCAGAGAAGACACTCACGTGGGGCTGGGCAAACAGGAGCTCTGCTGCCATAGCCAGGTACCCTGAGTGTCCCAGGGGCTGCAGGTGGGACTTGGTCACACAGGTGCTGAGGGGAAAGAAAGAAACATGTAGATTCCCAGCCTGGCCCTTTCTTCCACAGTTGGGGCTGCCCTGCCCCCATGTCCTCGATGGCCCCTCCTGCCATCACCAGTTCCAGTCTGGTCCCAGAGCACTCACTACCCACAGCCTCTGCTCTCTGCCCCTGCCAGGCACAGGAATCTCTGTTCCATGCCTCTGGATCCCCCTTCCTAGGCCTGTCCCCACTACATATGTGGACAACCCTCCTCCAAATAAAATAGCCCCTCAGGGTGTCCTCCTTGGCTCTGTGAGCTGACTTGTTCTGGGGGAGGGCAGAGAACCCCATTTGCTTGGTATGAAAGCTCAGAGATGTCAAGAAGAAAAGGAAATAAAAGCCAAATATGTGTGTGTGTGTGTGTGTGTGTCACAAGATAAGTAGTAGAGATATGTTCCAATAGATGAGTACTTAAAAGAAATATAAAATAATTAAACTCACCTGTAACAAGTGCAAGGAGTCCTGTTGGCACAGTGGTTATACATTGGGCTGCTAATTGCAAGGTCAGTAGTTCGAAACCAAGAGCTGCTATTCTCTCTGCAGGAGAAAGATTGGACTTTCTACTCCTGTAGAGTTTACATCTCAGAAACTCATAGGGACAGTTCTACCCTGCCCTATAGGGCCACTAAGAATTGGCAGTTTGGATTCGAAGCTGAAGACTCTCCAAACACAAGTGCAACTATTTGATCTAAAATAACAGAAAAGATAAATACAAGTAAGAGAGACCTGAAAAACATGAATTAAAACAAACCTGGTGCAACTGCATACCTTTTCCTATATGTTTTAAGCCTTTTACTAAAGTATGGCATTTTTACAGTAGAGACAAGTCATAAGTGTGACAACTCAATGGAAAATGGTCAACAGCACAGTCTCACATAACCAGCACCCAGGTGCTCTGTACCCCTAATCACCGTCCCCAAGCAGAAACAGTGCCTCTTTCCTGACTTCCACCCTACAGTACAGATGGGTCCTTTCTAAGTGCTCAGTATGGTGTAACTTTCATATGTATTGCTGCATGTGGTTTAGCTATAGCCATTCAAGGAATGAAAATATAGGGTTTTTTTGTTTTGGTTTTTTTTATCAGCTTCTTCCTCTTAGTTTTGAATCCCTTTGAGAGACACTTTTTATTTAGCTAGCATTTTTTTAAAAAAATATGGTTTTAAGAAGCAAAACCATCTAAATATTAATTGAGAAATGCTAATAAACACCTGATAAAACAGAAATGAAAGCAAGTCATTAATAGGAACAAAGACAGACACTGCATATTACTGAGACAGGAACTCACCGAGTAGCTGTGATAATAATGACCATACAAATATCTAACCAAAAACCACTCAAAATATCTAAAGGCAAAGCTAACTGAATACTGAAGAGGAACTGCACATCTTCTATAGGGGATTTTAAACACACTTTCCCCTGAAACGAGTCTATCAAGTAGAAAATCCTACACTTGAAAGAATAATGTATTTATTATCAATATATGCATTGAATATTACCCAAAGAACCCAAGAAACAAACCACATACCAAGCAACAAAGGAAGTCCCAACAAATCCCAAACGCTGGTATCACTTGGCCAAACCTTCTCTGATGAGGAGCCACCTCTGCAGAAGTGGAAATGACGGCCGAGGGCAATGGACCCTTTCTGAACTGAGCTTGGGCTTGAAACCAGCCTGATCTAGGCACTCCACACAACTAGAACCAAACTGAGGAGTAATTCAAGGAGAGATGAGTGAAAACATGGTCTTAAGAAGCAAAAACACACCAATGCCAACTACGTGGACACCTGCCCCTCCCCCAGATGAATTCACTTCAGAGGACAGCACTGAAGCTGCAGCTCAGGGACAGGGACCTGTCTGATCAGAGCACACGGCAGAAAATGAAGGGGGAGGAAGAGAGAGTGGAGCACATCCTGGCCCACCAAGCCTTGAGGACAATATTCCTGCTCAGAGCAGCCAATCCACAGAGAAAACCATATGGCTGGCCCCACTATGAGACACGACATCCCTCAGGGGACATAACTCTACAGGGGACAACACCGGAGACACAGTGTGGGAACTGCACCCGATCTGATCCCACCGCACCGAGGCAAAACACTAAGGGTGTGCAACAGAACAGCAAGGGAAACAGAGAGAGCAAAGAAGTCCCCAGGGAATACCAAAAATAGACTTTGGGGCCAGGGCTTGACCCCCCATCAGACTCAACCAGAAAACACTCCTAAAGGCCAGCAAACAGTCCTCGAATTAACTACAGGCTTTTCTTTTTTTGGTGTTGTTGGGTTGTTGTTTTTTTGTCATTGGCTTTTTGTTGTTATTTTGTTTTCTTTTGTTGCTCTGTTTTGCTCTGTCTTGTTTTTGTGCATGTTTTTATCTCTTCGTGTCTGTCTAAATAACATAGGTTGGATGAACAATCTGGAGGAGAAAACAATGGGACCAACGGTTCCAGGGAGACATGGGAGAGGGAGCAGTGAGGGAAAGGAAGTGGAGTTAACAAACCCAGGAACAAGGGAACAATCCAAATGGTGGTGAGGGTGTAGGAGGCCTAGTAGGGCGTGATCAAGGGTAATGTAAC